CAGGAGTTTTGAGTAAAAAAAAAGGCAGGATGAGACACTTTGCAAAAAAAAAAGGCAGGATGACAATTTATGTAAAAAAAAGTCAGGATAAACTAAAATAAAAAGGCAGGACCAAATAAAGTGAAAAATAAATAGGCATGACAGACATTACAATTAAAAAAAAGGCAGGACAAAATTTTTCATCCTAGCCCCCCTAGTCACCTACAAAAATACCAATCACATCAGGTGTCCCACATGGTAGAGTGCTGGGACCAATACTATTCCTAATTTACATCAATGACCTTCCAGAATAAATCCAACATAGCCGAATCAGACTCTTCGCAGATGGCAGTATAATCTACCGACAAATTGGATCTCAAAACGACTGGCCATAAAATGGCAACACGACTGGCTAATCTCTTTTCACCCTGACATGTGTAACATCATGAACCATAACAACCAAGAGTAATCCCATCCACTTTTGCTACATGTATGGACACATATTAGAATCAGTAAAACATACAAAGTACTTAGCCTAGGTATCATAATTTCTGCAGACCTAAAATGGAACACCCACATTCAACAAACCGCCGCCAAAGCAAATAAATCCTTATGTTTCATCAGAAGAAAGTCCAATCACAAACAATTAAAGAAAGAGCATATCAAACCCTTATAAGACCCAAATTAGAATACTGTTGTACTGTATGGGACCCATATACAAAATGAAAACATACGATCACTAGAAACTTACAGACACGGGCGACAAGGTATGAACGACAAGACATCACAACACCAGCAGTGTGTCTCCATGAATTGGCAAACTATACATTGACTGATTGGTGTTTAACGCCACTTTCAACACTATTGTGCTATTTCGTGGCAGTCAGTTTTCATTGGTGGAGGAAGCCAGAGTGCCCGGAGAGAACCACCGACATTAGGTAGGAAAACTGACAACCCTAGTCAATTAAGATTGGAGATGAGTGCACCTGCCCCGTGCGGGATTCGAACTCACAACCTCAGTGTTAACTGGCTAGTGATACAGTAGTTCGACTACTTAGACCACTCGGCCACCGAGGCCACCAAACTCTACAAGAACACCGGCCAAAAACAAGACTAATAATGTTTCAAAAAAATTGTAAATGAAAATATCACAATCACAAAATTTATTACATCAGAGTCAGTCTATGACAAGATCCATCCAAAAAGGCTCCTACAGACAAATTCAATGCAATTAAGACCGCTATAAATTTTCTTTCTTTTGTAAAACCATTTAAGACCAGAATAAATTATTCTTTGTCATAAGCAAAAACACCACTACAGAAACCTTCAAGGGTGCACTCACTCATGATGTGCTCCTTGATACTCATTCACAACTGAAATAAACAGGCAATCATGTTTATCTTAAATTACAAAAAAAAAAAAAAAAAAAAATTAAAAATAAAAAACGAAATATAAAAAATATAGATAAAAAATGAATAATCTAGAAACAAAGAAAAATTGTGAAAATTGATAATATAAAAGATATATGACCAAACAAAAAGTAATGAATATATCAAATTAAAGAAAAAATTGTTAATCTACGTGTTGATAATATTTGATAAATTTGGAAACATTTACCAGGCATGCGCCGGAAAGTTAACATCAGTACGTTGATGGTTTTCTGTAACTGAAGAAGAAGAAATAAAAGCAAGACATTTGACTAAAAATTCATGAAATTTGGAGATGAATGAAGGATGATAATTTTGACAACTTGTGATATTAATTAAGGGGATATTAAGGTTTACAATAAGTATTTCAAGATTTGAAGATTTTGTTATTTCAAACATATTTAATTTGCTTAAATATGCAAAAGTGATGAGACACAAGTTTATCAAACTTATGAAGTCTTCTCTCAGATTTTGTTATAAAGCAACGCTCAGGCATATATATGTAACATGAGGTTAATATAACAATAATAAACATGAACTATAATACAATAAACAGTTAATGAAAAAAATGATACAATATACATATCACAAATCACAATAAGTTATTTAAGCTTCTAATAAAAGATGCCACCTGTCTATATAATTTAACATTGCAATAAGATAACATGACTGCTAACTTCTGTTTACTTGGATACTTCGTATAATAACTAGGAATATTTTTTTCTCTAATATCAACCAGCTGAGGAGACTTACATATAAACGATAGTGAAATTCATCTCCTATATTTTTTTTACATAAATTACATTTTCGGTCCTCATAAAATCATAATTATATTCGTCTATACATTGCAATCATCTACATTCTTTTTTAATTTGCACCAAAAGACATCCGGAAGCAAAATGAATAAATTTGTTCCATCCGTAAAACATTCCGATAAAACGAAATATTTAGGAATGTTTCTTTTATTTATTGATATTCTATTAAACAGTCAACAACATGAAAATAACATTTATCGAATAGAAATGTTTTGAAGATAAGAATGAAGGGCACGAATTTCGACTGCAACTGGAAATATGAGGGTATAATGAAGACAGGGACAGGAATTTTGTCTTGTAACAAATATTTTAACGTGGCACTCTCCCTACGAGAGGCACTGGATTTAACGTCCTCAAATTATAGTGCTGTGTTGTTTTCGCTCGTCCTTATTTTTTTCGTTTTTTGTCCTAGGGGTGAGGGGCATTTGGGTTATGACTATTTTGCATATGAATAAACCAGATTTGTGCATGAAATGGGGACATTCTCCAATACACATGAAACGTAGTAACTTTGTTTTACTCTCGGTATTTAAATTATAAATCAATATAAAAATAACTGACACAATAGTGATCTCCTTTAAACCTTTAGGTACATATTAGTTGAAAGAGATTTCTTAAGCTCATGTCTATTGTTGATTGTATGCGCCGGCTCTAAATAAAAAGTACTTGCTTACTTACTTAGGTTCGGTGATATTACAGTTTAAGATCAGTTATGTCTGGTTACTATATATGGTATGGGGTTTGACCAAATTGCATTAACACGGATTATAGCTAAAAGCTGGGCCCGATCCAGAATTTTTGAAGGGTGGGGGTGAATCCCAGAAAATGAAATTAAAATTGGACGGTTTTATGCTAAAAAAATCATATAAATCGTAAGAAACATGGGTTTTTTTTTTGGCGATCAAAAGGGAGCGTAGGCTCTCTACACCCCCTGGACCCAACATTTGGAATAATAATGAAGGCTGTCTCAAACGAATAAAGGAACATGTTAATGTTGCTTTAAGTAGCAAAGTTGAAAAGCACATCAATCAAACGTTACAAATAGGATGTAAATGAGAGAAAAAAATCAAGTATCATGTCACTCTAATAGTTTTAACCTCTTTGTTTTAAAATAATATATTTTTATAAAAAAAAAACGATTTGGATTTGTCCGATCCTAACACAGGATGTTTGTATTCAGGTTGGGCATTAGTTGGACTTATAATGAGGAACACGTGGATATAGGGTAGAGTAGTCAAACGATAGTGAAATGTTTGGAACTATCTTTAATCTATTTTAGAATACATGCATCACTCTAAGCCCTTTTTTATTTTTTTCTTGGTCAAAACCTTAATGAGGTGGTTGCCTCGCTGCCGTAATGGAAGCTACATCACTGAACACTCAATAGCTGTCAAGATGTACCAAACTGCGATTCAGCCATCTATAAACATTTCACGTTCATAAAGCTAGATACTGTTGTCAGAGGATTCAAGTAAAAAGTTGTTGAAGTTTAGTAAAGACTGAAGAGCTAAACCTCGTAAACATAATTGTGATCAAGTTAGGTCTAAATGGCCCAATTTTCAGAAACTTTTTTCGTAAAAATTAACAAACGGCGAGCGATCCGACGTTGGTCACAAACTGATCGCACTGCTCACTTTGTCCCAAGGACAATGAGAGCTGACATATGAATCGCGAATTATGCAACGAGTCAACTAAAGTTAGATAACAGATTTGAACACCTGCTTTCAATACTATTTATCGTCAATTCACGTTTATACAAACATTATGCGTTGTACCCGGATATCGGTTTATCTTTACATGAAAATTATAGATAGCGATATGAAGTTCGGGTATATTATTTTTTGTCATCAAATTCACATTTTTTATTTGAAAATGTGTACTTTTTCTAAAGCTATACTCCTGGATACAAAACATATCCTAAATTGTTCTAATAGTAAATAAATAGTGAGCTAACAAGGAAGAATATCGTTATATATTCTATGAAAGTGTTGAATATTTCATGCTTTATAACGTATACTTTGAATTGTGGTAGCGTGCTCGCCTCGAGTGCAGGAGGTCGTGGGTTCAAACCCCGACCGGCTCAAACCAAAGACTTGAAAACTGGTATTTGCTGCTTCTCCGCTAAGTACGCGACATTTAGGAGTCAGAATAATATGTCCGAGGAGGGTGTCATGTCTTCCTGCTGACTGTCACCTTGTGAACTAGCAAGTTAAAAATCCGTACCAGAGTGTCTGTCTATTTCAAAGCAGGATTAATATTTCATATCACATAATCATGTTCTCATCTTGAATATGCATTTAATATGCCACTGGACGTTAAACAGCCACCCATCCATCCATCCATCCGTACACTTTTTATGGAATGCCTTGGTCATTTCAGGTAAATAAGTAAAGTTTAACGCTTAAACCGGTTTTAAACAAACAGTGAATAAATGGATATTGTCCGGTGAATATATATACATAATGCGATGTAAACGAAATATTTCTGATCATAAAGTATCTCAATAAATTAAATGCTTAAAAAGAAACTCGAAACCTTAAACACAGATAGGATTTCATTAACATCGAAAAGCGAAATATAGAAAGGCGTGGTTCTTGGTTCGAATTCTAGATTGACGGCAAAGAAAATTTAATGAAAAGACATATGGGTGTTTGTTAAGCATCCTAGAAAAGAAGAAGCACTAATGACAACGTCAAAGGGACACCATATTAACGTTTCCCCTTCATGCTTGTGTTAACTAGATGTTATTGTTTCTCTACATGTGATTAGTTTTACTTACATATATTAGGTTTTTATTATATCTGACTCTCAACTCATCCAGCAAAATACTGTCATCTAACTTTGCTAATGTGGCTAAATCTTCAACACTACCAGGTTCTGGCCGATCCATGTTTTTGTTTACTTCCCTTTTCAATCTTTTAGCATTATTATATGCACTTGAATGTTGTATTTACCTGAGATATTTATACAAAGTGTTTATTTATAGATTGATCATATTGATCTTTGTGATTTCAGGTGTAACGTGACGTATTGAAGAAAGGTAAAAAATTAAAGATCGTGATATAGTTTGATTAAGTAACTATTAACAAAGAATTTACTCATAACCATAATATATTCTTGTATTAATCATTGTCGAACACGAACTGTGAGTGCATACTCGCTTTCTTCAAATATTACCTTAAATGGGAATTCTGAGAAATGAGATATAGCTTTCTAGCATCTAGAAATCAAAAAGCAGAGAACTAAATACAAATATATATATATATGTGTGTCAAAAGTGTACAACATTACTTGAAATTAAATAAAAATATATATTGTTTACTTAATTTTGGTGTTATATATTGGCATTTCAAAACACTTTTTTACAAGCCAAATGATCACCGTTTGTGAAAACTCTTTCATCTAAAATATACAGTGTGGTACACTAAAGCTGTTTCGTTCCCCCCTTTTTGGATAGAATAGGTAAAATTGAGAATGGAAATGGGGAATGTGTCAAAGAGACAACAATCCGACCAAAGAGCAGAAAACAACCGTAGGCCACCAATGGGTCTTCAACACAGCGAGAAAATCCCGCACCCGGAGGCGTGCTTCAGCTGGCCCCTAAACAAAAATGTGTACTAGTTCAGTGATAATGGACGTCATACTAAACTCCAACACATAATATAAATGAACTAAAATTAAAAATCATACAAGACTAACAAAGGCCTGGGACAAGCGCAAAAATGCTTTTGTGAGATCTCAACCCTCCCCATATACCTCTAGCCAATGTAGAAAAAACAAACACACAGCAATACGCACAGTAAAACTCAGTTTAAAAGAAGTCCGAGTCCGATGTCAGAATAGGTAACAAGATGCATGTCTTCTTCTATTTTTTTGTGTGAACCAGGGTTATTTATATAGTAATTCATTATTCATACCAGAGACATGTAAAACACTTATATTAAATATTTCTGTCCATACTCATGATACTGTCTTCGTTGAAAAAAAATTGTATTCACGTTTTTAGACGGCTAATTAATATTAAGTGGGGAATTGAAAAAACAAGCAGTATGCTGCAAAGGAAAACTATCTTAGATCATTTAAAAACTCTTTTTTTTTTAAATTTTTGGGGGAGGAGGGAGAATTAAGAACGAATGCAATGAAGTGTAGAATTTTAGAAATCAAAGGTCTCGATTTTTTCAATAGAGATAATAACTTTAGATCATACACATTTTTCATAAAGAAATATATAATGATCCTTGACGTTAACTGTTTATTGCAATACGTGTCTTAATATTTATCTTATTGCACCTTCCACCCATTGCATATGCAAAATCCATACTATTGAATGCCATAGCTGTCGTTTTGGCAAAATTTACCTATATGCTGTGGATTTATAACTATATACTGTGGTTCTATTATCGTAACAACTCCTTCAGTCAAAGTTAATCTTGAATGGTTTTTGGGGTTTGTTATATATTATACAGACACAAAAGGTAACAACTCCCTCAGACAAATTTTATCTTGAATGGTTTTGGGGGTTTGTTATATATTAAACAGACACAAAGGTGACAACTCGCTCAGACAAAGTTAACCTTGAACGGTTTTGGTGGTTTATTGTATATACAGACACAAAGGTAACGACTCCCTCAGTCAAAGTTAATCTTGAATGGTTTTGGTGGTTTGTTGTCTATACAGACACAAAGGTAACAGATCCCTCAGTCAAAGTTAATCTTGAATAGTTTTTATGGATTGTTGTATATACAGACACAAAAGGCACAACTCCCTCAGTCAAATTTGATCTTGAATGGTTTATGTGGTTTGTTGTCTATACGGACACAAAGGTAACAACTCCCTCAGTCAAAGTTAATCTTGAATGGTTTTTATGGATTGTTGTATATACAGACACAAAGGTAACAGCTCCCTCAGACAAAGTTAACCTTGAACGGTTTTGGTGGTTTATTGTATATACAGACACAAAGGTAACAACTCCCTCAGTCAAAGTTAATCTTGAATGGTTTTGGTGGTTTGTTGTCTATACAGACACAAAGGTAACGACTCCCTCAGTCAAATTTAATCTTGAATGGTTTTGGTGGTTTGTTGACTATAAAGACACAAAGGTTACAAACCCCTCAGCCAAAGTTAATCTTGAATGGTTTTGGTGGTTTGTTATCTATACGGACACAAAGGTAACGACTCCCTCAGTCAAAGTTAATCTTGAATGGTTTTAGTGGTTTGTTGTCTATACAGACACAAAGGTAACGACTCCCTCAGTCAAATTTAATCTTAAATGGTTTTGGTGGTTTGTTGACTATAAAGACACAAAGGTTACAAACCCCTCAGTCAAAGTTAATCTTGAATGGTTTTGGTGGTTTGTTATCTATACGGACACAAAGGTAACAGCTCCCTCAGTCAAAGTTAATCTTGAATAGTTTTTATGGATTGTTGTATATACAGACACAAAGGTAACAACTCCCTCAGTCAAATTTAATCTTGAATGGTTTATGTGGTTTGTTGTCTATACGAACACAAAGGTAACAACTCCCTCAGTCAAAGTTAATCTTGAATGGTTTTGGTGGTTTGTTGTCTATACAGACACAAAGGTAACAACTCCCTCAGTCAAATTTAATCTTGAATGGTTTATGTGGTTTGTTGTCTATACGGACACAAAGGTAACATTCCCTCAGACAAAGTTAATCTTGAATGGTTTTGGTGGTTTGGTGTCTATACGGACACAAAGGTAACAACTCCCTCAGTCAAAGTTAATCTTGAATGGTTTTTGGTGGTTTGTTGTCTATACGGACACAAAGGCAACAACTCCCTCAGACAAAGTTAATCTTGAATGGTTTTGGTGGTTTGTTGTTTATACGGACACAAAAGTAATAATTCTCTCAGACAAAGATAATCTTGAATGGTTTTCGTGGTTTGTTGTTTATACGGACACAAAGGTAACAATTCCCTCAGACAAAGGTAATTTTGAATGGTTTTGGTGGTTTGTTGTCTATACAGACACAAAGGTAACAACTTCCCCAGTTCAAGTAAATCTTGAATGGTTTTGGTGGTTTGTTGTCTATACGGACACAAAGGTAACATTCCCTCAGACAAAGTTAAACTTGAATGGTTTTGGTGGTTTGTTGTTTATACGGACACAAAGGTAACAATTCTCCCAGACAAAGTAAATCTTGAATGGTTTTGGTGGTTTGTTGTCTATACGGACACAAAGGTAACGACTCCCTCAGTCAAAGTTAATCTTGAATGGTTTTGGTGGTTTGTTGTTTATACGGACACAAAGGTAACAATTCCCTCAGACAAAGGTACTTTTGAATGGTTTTGGTGGTTTGTTGTCTATACAGACACAAAGGTAACAACTTCCCCAGTTAAAGTAAATCTTGAATGGTTTTGGTGGTTTGTTGTCTATACGGACACAAAGGTAACATTCCCTCAGACAAATTTAATCTTGAATGGTTTTGGTGGTTTGTTGTTTATACGGACACAAAGGTAACAATTCCCTCAGAAAAAGTTAATCTTGAATGGTTTTGGGGGTTGCTTTGTATACAGACATAAAGGTAGAAACACTTTAAAGGGAGGGGTTGATGTACAGACACAAAGGTAACAATTCCCTAAGACAAAGTTAATCTTAAATGGTTTTGGGGGTTTGCTATATATACAGACACAAAGGTAGAAACACTTTAAAAGGAGGGGTTGATGAACAGACACAAAGGTAACAACTTCCTCAGACAAAGTTAATCTTAAATGGTTTTGGGGGTTTGCTATATATACAGACACAAAGGTAGAAACACTTTAAAAGGAGGGGTTGATGTACAGACACAAAGGTAACAACTTCCTCAGACAAAGTAAATCTTGGATGGTTTTGGTTGTTCTGTTTAGGTCCTTTTGGAATTGATGCTATAAAAATCTACAATTTAGACAAAAAAATAAAATATGATTTTTTTTTGTTTCCAACTATTTTAAATGTAATGTTCTGGCTCTATTATATATTTGGACGTGCTTACATGACAGGCAACTGAGGCAGACTTACTTTATTAATCAAATTACAAATATTTGTGTAATCAACATAGAGAGGACATACATATAGTTTTAATTCCAACAGTGTAGGAAAGGTCTATATACAGCACGGAGATTGGAGTCAGAGGTTTCTAGCACTTGACTTAGAGTTGGAGCTAATATTTAACATTAACCAAAATTAATATATTTTTATCACATGTTTAGTTGGTTTAATAACTCGTCCCAATCTTATAAATTAGTAGTGTAAAAAGGCCGATTCTTCGGCACCCCCATATTTTTCGTAGAAATCCTGCATCTCACTCCCAAAATTGAACATGAATTGCAAACGAACAGTGTTTGAATTAAATACTAAGTAAATACATAATTATGGCCTTTCTTAATTAATGGTAGAAATACTTTAAAGGGAGGGGTTGATACTAAGTGAATACATAATTATGGCTTTCTTAAACAATGGTAAAAACACTTTAAAGGCAGGGGTTGATACTAAGTGAATACATAATTATGGCTCTCTTAAACAATGGTAGAAACACTTTAAAGGAAAGGGTTGATACTAAGTGAATACATAATTATAACTTTCTTAAACAATGGTAGAAACACTTTAAAGGCAGGGGTTAATACTAAGTGAATATATGATTATGGCTTTCTTAAACAATGGTATAAACACTTTAAACGGAGGTGTTGATACTAAGGGAATACATAATTATAGCTTTCTTAAACAATGGTAGAAACACTTTAAAGGCAGGTGTTGATACTTAGTGAATACATGATTATGGCTTTCTTAAACAATGGTAGAAACACTTTAAAGGCAGGTGTTGATACTAAGTGAATACATGATTATGGCTTTCTTAAACAATGGTAGAAACACTTTAAAGGGAGGGGGTTGATACTAAGTGAATACATAATTATGGCTTTCTTAAACAATGGTAGAAACACTTTAAACGGAG